AGAATCACTGATGATCAAACTACAGCTCAGTCCTAAGGCCACACCTGGAAGAAACCTGAAGAAAAGGCAAGAATACTATCATATGGGCAGTATATCTCCAAAATTGTCTGTTACTGGCAAACAGATGTTCTTTTTTAAAAATAAATCCATGTGCATGTTCTAACAAGCCATTACCTCATCTCATATTACTAAATCTAGCGTGACAGTTTCCCATCCAAACAAGGGAAACCCTCCATCTCCCTGAGTTTTCATCCATTTTCTTAATTTGTAGGCTGAATACATTATTTAGCATAACAACTGATGTGTCAGCACTTATTGTCAGTAAAGGAATACACTTGCGCACAGATTTGTTGCCAAAATAAATATTATTTTCCTGCTTGAAAGCGTCCTGCAGACAAGAAAGATATGCTTGCAAAGCCAGAACTGCATCAAAGAATAAGAAATTACTGTCTCAGTATCAGGCCAACAAGAGTTGCTTTTTAAATATGGACTAAAACAAGATAGAAAAATGCATAAAATGTTGTTTCATTAGTTCCTTGTTTGATGGTTATTTCCTTATATCTCATTCATGGTGAGAGGATAATCCCTTTAGCTCAACAGCAACTCATTAACCATGTTCTCTCAATTAGAAATAGCTTATTTTCTAACAAAACAAACCCCATAAACACTCCTGCCTCCAGCTCATAATGATTTTCTATAAGTAAGTGCATCAGAGGCAAAGTACAAGGAGGGAGCTTGGTACAAAAAGAAGTGACACAGAAATGGAAGATATTTCTGATAACATAACTCTTGATTATTGTATACATTGTATGCATTTTCCGATACTTTGGGACTTCAAAATGAAAGGAGATTTGGAAAGCTGAAATGAGGAGTGGAATACTCTTAAAACCCTTATACTGAAACACGAAGAAAACAGCACAAAGGAGAAAACTGCTTTTGTGGATCTAGTTTATTAATAAGCATTGTAATTAACAGGACAACATGCTGTACAGAAACCTGAAATAGAACTACTGCAAATTTACTGGACTTCAAATGCTGCTGGACTGTAGTATATGGTGTCCAGCTGCATGATTTGTAGAGTGTGGTTAGGGCTGTTTCAATACACAGACATACACTGCTCACTCTCAGATCCTGTAGTATGCCATAGAGCAGGGAGATTTCCCAGAAATACAAACTCAAATATTTACAAGAAATTGTCAATCTCTTTCTTCACTAGGGATAACATAAGTTATACACAATTTTCCTATGTATACCAAATAAAATCTTTGCCTTCAACTTTACTTTGTGTCAGCACAAACCAATTCCTTCCTTTTTATTTATCCAGTTAAATAAGGGTAGTAAACTGCAGTGTGATAATTTAATGGCTTTATCATTGATTAAGGATTGGTATTAAACCTGCAAAAGGGAAACAAGAGAAATCAAATAAAGTCGAGTGTAAGTTTTCAAACTTTAACGCCTTAGACTTTATAAGACTCAAACAACCTTGAGCTAATCGACCATTCCTGATAGAAATTGTTTAGGTCTCTGTCTTTGGCTCGACCCTGCTGGAAGCAGGTAACAGTGGTCACTGAGGACTGATGGGGTTCCACACGGGATTACAGTTCGCTCAGAACACAACGGAGCAAATCTTCCCTTCTCTTACAAAAACACCCAAACAGATTTACCCCCACTGTGGTCAGAGACGCAAAGAGGCTGCTCTCCTCCAGTCTTACCCCAAGCAAAAAGACCTGGCTGGGCTCACGACCACATAACTAATGTTCGATCAGGCCAGCCTTTGTGCTAACATTCATAAGCCCTCAGGCCCTATTAGCATGGGCTCATTGCCATGATAATTAGCTAAATGACCTGCATCCGGCCAGCTCGCAGCCCAGAGAGAGCAGGTGCTCAGTAGTCTCTGTCTGGCCAAGCAGACATGCCTAATTATTCTTTCTTTAGAATTAAGTTACACTTCAAAATACAGCACAGTTTAGGAAAACAAAGAAACAGCATATTTTACTTCAAACAGTTTGACTCAATTCTTTAACTGTTTTGTGTGTTTTGTTTGTTTTATGAATTGAGTGTTTTGGAAATAAGAACCTTCCTTTCTGCCATCACTACCCATAACTTTGATGCAATACTTAGAAATGCAACAAGTATTGAGTTTGGAGAGGGGAAATTATCTAGACTAGACTATTTGACACATCACTTTGAAGGCAAAGGTTTTCCTTTATTGTTACACTGTATGAAACAAATCTAATCATGTAACTACCATTTTACTGTATATTGTATATAGGATTGTTTTCTCCACAAATTCACACAAGTAAGATAAAATAAGTTAAATGACTAAAAAAAAAAATTACACAAAAATATACAGTCTATGTACTAGATAAATTATTTATATATATGGCAAGATGTGTAACGAGTCTCTAGTAACATTACTCCTCTGGATACTGACATGCTACTCAGAAAAATGTTGCCTCAGATGTGTAGTTTTATATATTAGATGTGTAATATATAAAAATGAGGGAACAATTTATCTTCTGAAACAATGTGTATTTACAATTAATTGCTCTGTACCTCGTACCTCGTTGACTGAATTTTAGAATATTAGAACACATTTTCATGGATATAGCATTTAATTCTTCATATAATCAAATCCATCTCTACAATGCCTTTTGTTTAAGCAATTTTTTGTTGTCATTTGTTTTGGTTGTTTTGTTCGTTTTTTGTTTCTTAGTTTGTTTTCAAGAGAAGAGGATTGGTTAATTGCTTCTGTGTCTTAGGGAAAAAAAACCAAAATAACCCCTAAACATTTAAATTAAGTGAAGTTTGTTGTTGTTTTTTTTCCCCTACCAATGAAAAAGCTCACTAATTCTGGTTCCTTCACCTTTTCCTATGAAAATCCTAAAATTGTAGAAATTTAGTCTTTGCCAGAAAATTTCAGTTACAATTTTCATCCAAAAAAGGAACACTTGCAGGCAAAAAAAAAAAAAAAGGAGAGTTTACCAGTGGAGCTGCCAATTCTGTAAACATTTGGTATGGCAGCCTTTTGTTATAAAAACTGAAGATCTCTGTGTACAATAGGAAGCATTAGCTGTCAGCATTATCCTAAATTTGCACAATTAGTATGCTTGGTAAATCTGTGTAAACTAAAGATAAGCTTTTTTTTTTCTTTTTTTTTTTTTTGCATATCCCTGAAAAGAACTGACAAATTTTCTCATTCTGATGTGTCCAAAGCAAACAAGAAAGGGCTTTGTATATATTAGGTATGAATTAATTTGTCAAATTTTTAATTGTCCTGGAATTGGAAATGAGATGTGTCAGCTATTGTGTGTCAGTACCCAAAGGATTGTTATTTTTTTCCAGGACTTACATGCAACTGGAAGCCAGTGTGCCACATCTTTTCTAAACATTATTGAAAACTACATTAAAAAAAAGGAAAGCAAAAGAAGTACATCATTAGATAATCTGATGTCCATTAGTTAAACCCTATCAATAGGTTAAAAGTGAAGCTTTTTTTTTTTTTTAATTATTATTATTTTGCACATAAATTCTAAATGTGATTTGAATAGATTTACAGTGGGGACAGCAATATATAAAGCTACTTATACCTGCTGGGCACATAAGAGAAGCTCTTTTAGCATTCATTGGAAACCCTCAACGACTTGGACTTCTGAAAATTTTACAAGCAGCTAATATTACAGCATTTTTACACACAGTTTTGTTTATAAATTACAGATTTAAGTTACAATATGAAGCCTACATAGAATTCTATCCATAGGAAATATGCACACACTGTCATTTTTTCCCCTCCATACAACTTCGATTGTCTCACTTAATGTAGCAATAAAACTAAGAAATTACGCATTTTCTTAAAGGAAAAATTCCTTGGTATGTACATACTGTAAATTATGAAATGGCTAAACAGCAACGAAATATTAGAAGGAAATGCTAGAGGGAAAATATATTTTTTCATCTAAGAAAGGACTCTCTTTTTTATCCACTGTGGAATTTACACAATACATTTTCCAGTATGGAGAACACTGAAAAAAATCACTCATCTTTAAAGAGAATCACCTTGAAACTTTATCAAATAATATGACTGGGGTGTGTTTATATTTATCCACCTTTCATTACCCAGATTCTTCTTTCTTTGCTGAGCACTATCAAGTCATTCTCTAATAACTAATCCACAGTGACAAGTACTTCTTAATCTAATAGGTTTGTGGTGAAGTAACTAATATTATAGTTAAACTTTTACTGAATACTTACAATAGATGAATAGAGCTGTAAAAAAAAAAGCCCTACATATCACTATAATATTTTTTTAAACACTGGTATCTTGCAGTCACAACAGCACATCAGCCAAAAAAACTACCCCATTTTCCTACTGTTTTCAGCAGTGCCCATGTAATTTTCAACTAACAGGAACAGTAGCCAAAGCAAGCTCTGCAAGATGAAAAAAAAACCCTAAGGAAAAAAAAAATAGAAATAAACTTATGGCTTGAAAACATAATATGTGTAATGTTGTTCCTTGAATTATTGTAGAAATATTTGGAAATTCAAAAAATAAAGTTACTTATAATTTTTTTCCACTTTTGAAACTGGTATGTCCTATCATTGTCATGTTGCTTATTTCACACAGGAAAACCAGTTAAGAACTTTCTATTTCATCTATAGCATTCTTTCAAAGAATAAATACCTGTATACTGTGCCAATAAAAATTAAAATAAAAATCAGTTGTAGTGTCTAAGTACATTTTCCTCCTTGATTACATAAAGGATAAATGGTAAGATATACAATCCTTCTTAAGAATTAGATTTCAGGATCTTATTAATTCTATTATGTCAAGTAATCAAATGAGAAATTGCTCACTTGATCTCTAATGCTAAGCAAATGGAAGATGAAATCTATGAATGTGCTATAAATCATAACAACAAAGAAAAATTTGAGTAAGCTATTTTTAAACTGTAATATTCCCCAAACTGTACTAAGAAATTGCTTTCAAAGGGAGGATGGCCCATGTAAGAAAACTACCAGGATTTTGATTTTCTTTCACTCGTTTCTGGGTTGTGGGTTCTCTTCCCCATTTTGTGGATATTACCAAGAACTATGGTAAACACCTTTTAACTAAGTCCTAAGGATTTAGATTATCAGTTTCAAATTTAGGATCCTATATACACAAATATTCACAAGCCTAACGAGCGTGCACGTGCCCGAAGAAGAGCGTTAGGCTGTGACTATACACAGTCACTTTAAAGCCTGAAATCAGGGATTTGTCAGAAATGCCTTCACAGCTGGTGCTCGTGTACAAACGTGGTGCTGCTCCCAGAGCCCGGAGCCTGGTGGGACGCGGTGAAGTTTGCCAGAGGAATGACTTTGACGGCATCTTCGCTGGCGCAATGTCTTTCGCAGGTGTTGTAGAACTGGGGCCTGGGCCCCCCCTGGCCTTTGTCACTGTCATCCTTTGGAAGGGGCCTGCCAAGAGTGTGCCGTCCCTCAGGCCTGGCTCCACGGCCCCAGCCTTGCTGGAAGCCAAACGATGGCAAAGAGGTGTTGGGCTGCTGGTACTGCATCAAAGCCGGAGGCATCCAGCAGTTGTCGGAATGGCCGAGGATCAGACACTCCTGTGTGCAGTTTTCAGAGGCTTCTGCCAGAGCTTTCTGGAGATTCACTTCTATAGCTGGGAGGAGGGAAAAAGACAAGGCATCATCAGAGATACAAAGGGGGATGCACAAAGGGAATCAAGGTGAACAAAGCAATCCCTGTTCTACAATAATGGCCACGGTTTGTGGAGGAATTACCTCCGGGTGCACAACTGAAGCAAAGGTTTAGGAGTTCGGAAGTTTGTGGACCACAGTTTTCTCACCGGACATCTTAAGAAAACAGTTAATGTTTAAGGAGCAGCTGATACCATTGTTACAGCTCTGCAACTAAAGCCCTTATACAGCCTATTTCATAGAATCATAAAGGCTGGCAAAGACCTCTAAGATCATCAGGTTCGGCTGTTGCCGCAGCACTGCCAGGGACATCACTAAACCATTTCCCCAAGTCCCACATTCACGTGCCTTTTGAACTCTTCCAGGGACACCACTTCCCTAAGCAGCCCATTCCAATGCTTGATGACCATTTCAGAGGAGAAATTTTTCCTAATATCCAACCTAAGTCTCCCCTGGCACAACTTGAGGCCATTTCCTGTTGTCCCATCACTTAGTCACAATGATCCTTTCACTTTTTGAAATTTTAATTTCTGTAATAAAAGCTTTCTAATAAGCTAATGCCGTTCTTCTAAGTATTTGCATAGAGCTACTTGGAGAAAATATAATTATCAAAATTGCAATTTTTTAAAAAAATGTTTTCTTAAAACTAGGTTTTTTTAATTTTTTGACTTTGCTTAACATAAACAAAACTAATTTGGATATGAGCCGAAGATGGTACATTGGCTTCAAAGATGCACTCAAGAGCTTTAAGAATGGAAGAGTGTAACAACTATTTTAAAGAGAATTGATTTCTTCATGTATTCAATGCTGGAAACCTTGAAAAATCAAAGGGTAATAGCAAAAGAAGATGTAACCTCTGTAGTTTACTAGTAATCGAACCAGATTTCTTCAGTAGATGCAAGGTTTGTGCCCTTGAAAAAGGATTATAGAAATTATAATTTGTTCAAAGGCAAAGTAAACAACTAAATCTGAAAGGTGTTAATTTGTAACACATAAACATTCCTGATCAGTTCTGTCTAAACTGTGGCTTTACCATATTGTGTAAATTAAAAACTAATAGAATTAAGTTTCTACACATGATTCCTTGAAATAGTTTTCATATTACATATGTTAATTTTATATTCTCTTGGTGTGTACTTGGTTAAATACATCAAAAGCATAGAAGAATATCTGATTAGATATCTCACTGTGCCACCTTCACAAAACTTTCCAATGAAAGATGTATACACGTTTTTAATATCCACCCTAATGAAGATAACATTTGAAACTGGATTCTGGCTCATAAGCACTGGAGAAGGAATGCCACTAAAATTACTTAGAGCAAGAAGAGTGCTGAGTAGAAGCCTCCCACCCTCTGAGCTTTATGTTTAAACAGATGCTGCATTTCTGTTTTAATAAATACTTTGCATGTGGAAATCTGTATAAAGCTACAGAGCACAAACACTACTTTCCATGTTACATTCCATTGAAAATGAATTGAGTTTTTCTTCAAGGCATTGAAATATATAATGTTCCTGTCCAAAACACAGGATGCATCTTTTTGAAATCTACCATGTTTAAGTAGACAACTGGTTGCTTGTTTTATCATGAATGCTCTATTCTTGATTATTTCTCCTTGACTATGTGTCAGTCAGAGAAGCGATTGTTTATAAATGTTATTTTGGCATATTACTGGCATTTCAACATGTCTTCAGTCATTTTGCCTGAGTACTTTTCAGTGTAATCCTGACAAAGCTTTGGCACCTTGATGTTGAAATACTAATCCAGTTATGATGGGCAGTAGGAGACATAAATATGGAAATAATTCAGTAGAGGCAACAGTTCCTGCAAAAAAAAAAAAAAAACAAAAAAACAAAAAAACACCAACAAAACTGCTACTGGTGGATTAGTCTAATCTTTCCGCGTCCTACTATCTGCTATTAGAGACATAAATCTGACTATATACATGTCTTTAAAGCTCTTTAATTATCTAGGTTTGCTTCTCTTCTGATCAAGACAATTCACTGAAATCAGGTACAACCTTGACAGAGTGCTGAGTTACCCCGGGTTCATTGTGAAAATGATTTTTTGCATTTATTAAAAAAAAAACAAAACAAACAAATTTGATACCAAATACTTCAGTGTTTCTTTTTACCTTGAGGCTTTCTAGTGGCTCTTAAAATGCTATTATTTCAATTAAACTGTATAAAATTATATATTTGGAAATATTACTTGTGCGTTACTTACTCTAGTTCTTCACAGCAACTATTACAATTCTTATATTTTACCATCTCTCTCAGACTTCAGTAAGAGAATAAACAAAGCTAAAATATCAAAAGAAACATTTGACAATAAAAATTTAACATTTACGCTTTAGACAAGGCAACTGCAGAACTAAAAGGTCACTAATAAAACATTCTCCACACCATTTCATCAGATCAGTAGGACAGTAATTTGGGGCCACATGTTGCCAGATTGCCTGTAAACTTGGAGCAGGTTACCATGCTAAGAGTATTGTCAGAATTACAGTCCTGCTTATTCTCTTAATGAAGAGATATTTTACTCTGGGTTTTAGTTTAATTGACAAAAAACCCCAAAAAATCACTAAAACCACCACCACAAAAAAACCCAAACAAGAACCCAAACTCCAAAACTTCAGAACAATCCTGGGAATAAACAGAAGTTATGAATACAAATTATTTTGGTGTTAAGTGGGGGTTTTGTTATGCAAAAATCTGCCAATGAAGGATTGTTTAGAAGATACACCTTTTATAGCAGTCATAATCTTTCTTTCAGCTTTGGTATTTGGTGCAGGTATTGTTGGTTGTCAGAGTGTGATTTTCATCAGAGCTTATGGTTAGTTATATGCAAAATATAAAGTTTTCCTTAAATTTGAAAAGACCCTTTCCTACTGAGCACCTCTGCAGTGTTGTAGAAAAGGAAATAAAAAGTAATTAACAAATACAAGTACTTTCCTATATGACTTTTGACTCAATTGTTTTTTTCACTAGTAACAGTCAAGTTTTGTTTTATAATATACTGTATTCATTATCAAAGTCAAACAGACAAACAACACCCCCCCAAGCAATGATAACCTTAACTTCTGGACTAAATTTAAAAGGGGTACATTTGAAAAAATTATTAATAACAGAGTTTTTGTGTGTTTTTTAATCCAGATCATCTGTTTCTAATAGCATTAGTGCAACCCTAAGGCTGTCTTTAGGAGGCTGGGTATGCTGTAGGAAACATGAGGGAAACAAGGCCACCAGTAAATGCATGAAAAGGAAACTTAAAAAGAATCTCACACACTGATCAGCTGCAGTAAATAATATCAGCAATGACAACAGTTGCAATAGAGTTTTTGCTTGGCATAAAGTAAAAAAAAATATAAACCCAGCAATATGAAAAACTATATTTTTAGCATAATGAAGTAAAAATTACTCTTGGAGAATAATCCAACCCAGAAAAAAAATGTAGGAAATTCTCTGCATGAATATTCAACAAGGTATCTATCTCGGCCAATCAAGGTAAAGAAAGTTCCTGATGTTTGAATATTTTCAGAAGAAATGATGGCCACTGCTACCAAAATTCAGTGTCTAGGAAATAGAAGTATACATATTCCCCATGCATTATGAACAAACAACACATTCCATCGAACTCTTACCCGTCTACTTAATTTCTTACTTCATTCAGTTATAAACCCTCAGCTTTATATTTTTTTTTCATACTACATGGAGACTCTTCAAATATGACATACAAGTACTATGAAAGAGAATTTTTAATTCATATAATAGATCACACTCATGCACATGTGAGTTTAACACTTTGATTTGAATTCCAGGTTGTTTTAGGAATGAAACTATTTTTTAAATTGTCTGCTGCAGAACTAAGAACATTTTTAAAGAAAGTGTCTGTCAGCTCTTCTGAAATGTTTAGATCAGAACTGTCAAATATAACTAAAAGCACAATAGTTAAAAGGCTTTCTTCATTGTTCCACAGTCTTATCATTTATAGGTCAAAGCAGTTTTCAGGTAAGAATATTTACTTTCACTCAAGAAAAAGTGGAATTTCAGCCTTGCCAGATAGCAATCCTTCAGTTAAAAAAATACCTTTTCTTCTTCTCCTATTTTTTTTTTCATTAGAGACTTCCTACGGTTATAAAGTCTGTGTGGGATTTTAGAGATAGTAAATAAAAATGTTGGTTATCCTCTTTGTTTCTGATATACAACACACTTTCTTTTTCTACTGCTATGGACTCCCCTCCATCCTCAAAAGAGAGACAAATGAAGACAATATCAAGTGGGCTGGTTCTTTTCTCAGTCTGCTGTTAAACTCATCACTCGCATCACGACATCTCACAAAGAGACTTGGGCTGGAAGGGACTTTTGAAGATGTCTGGTCTAGCCTCCTGCTAAAATTAGGATATCTTGATTGAAACAGAAGAGAATAATTTTTCCAAAAGTTTAGGCCAAACTTTCAGAATTGTACATGTCCCCTAAAACCCAAATCTGAATGCACATGTTGAAAGGAGACATGCATTTCTAAGAGCTGGACAATCAAGAACATGAGCTCCTGGAGAAGCCTTAAAACATTTCCACCTTTATCCACATGTGTAGTAATGATCAAAGGACATTTGTAAATGTATTCATTAGTAAAGTACTCAGATTCATTAGAAGTTCAAAAACCACCAGACTGCACTGATGCAGGTTTAGGGGCTTATAAATTGTGCAAAGAAAATTTCAAAACCAATTAAAAAAAAAAAAAAAAAAGAAAAGGCCTTAAAAGACAGAATATAGAGTGCTTGAATTTTAAAGGCATGTAGCTGAAGTCTTAATGAAAAGCCAGTTTTGAATTTGACACATTTTGGATGCAAACCATCCAGTGTTACATTTAGAGCACTCTTGTTTCATAATAAAGCAAGCAACAATTAGCAAGCAATTAAGCAAATTGCCCACAATTATGCCATTGCTGAGCTATTTTTCAT